GTAACTTAACTTTACTTATTTAAAGTTCCAAGACAATAAATGGATAAAATTATTGTGAGTTTTGCACTGATAAACTGGGGGGCCTATAAGGGACATGCCGAGTCCTGGTGTGGCGCTGTAGGTTAATGCACCAGACTGCAAAGCCGTTTGAACTGCAGGGTCGGTGGTTCAAGCTTACCACCTACTCCTTGAAAACCCTATACAGGGTCACTATGGGTCGAAATCTACTCGAAGGCACTTAACAATTCTAATGGACATGCATATCTGACCATGTCTAAAATCTTAGATGTAAAATGGATTTTTAAATAGCATTTATTTTTACTTCCTAATATTCAAAGCAAGGAAATATGTGCCCTTTTTTACTTTTTTGATTGTTATTGATTTGCTTAGTCCCTCCCCCCTCCAAAAAAAAACCCTTTAATTTTGTCAATTCTATTTTTAAAAATAATATAATGGCTCTAATGTATTAATTTTATTTTAATCATTAATTTGTTTCTAATTCTTTTCAGGGATTTGTTTTACATTTTAGTTTCTACTTCTTGAACTGAAAATGTTTTCCCTTTATTTATATTATTTTTTTGTTTAGTAATCCAGGTTTTCTGTGTGATGTGAATTAGTTGCTGTCTCATAATTAAGCTTTAATGATAGCTCATCAATTGCTACATGCCATCTAGTCAGTTCTGACTCGTAGAACCTTATGCACAACTGAATTGCCTGGCCCCATACTTTTCTCACAGTTGTTGCTACATTTGAGTCTATGGTGTTGCCACTGTCAGTCCATCTCCCTGGATTGACCTTTTTTTCACTGACCCTCCACTTTACCAAGCATGAAGTCCTTCTTCAGAGACTGGTGCCTCCAGATAGTATGTCCAATGAGAATCAAACTCTCCATTCTCTCTTTTAAGGAGCATTCTGGCTGCATTTCTTCCAAGATAGATTTGTTTATTTTTCTGGCAATCCATGATATTGTCTTGCCCCACAGATTTAGTGAATTTGATTCCTGTATAGTCTATCTGTTGACATCCATATGTATAGTTGCTGTTAATGTTGTTTTAAAAAGGTCCTTAGGTACTTGCAGTGAATAATTTGTTGGTCTTGTAAAATTCTATCATGAGATTTTCAGCATGAAAATATCATAAAATGTCACCAAGGCTATATTTTCCGGTTACTCATCCTACCTCTTTCTAAGTTTCACATTCCAATTACCAGTAATTATCAGTGCATGTTTGATCAGTTTCAGATTGAAGAAGTTGGTAGAATTACTCAATTTTATCATTGGCTTTTGTGGTTTGTATGTAAATTTGAAAAATAATGCCATTAAATGGCTTTCCTTGTAAGCATATGGATATTTTCCTATCATAGACATATTGTACTTCAAGATAGATCTTGGAATGCTTGTTTTCATGATGAATGCGACACTAATCCTCTTCATGTTGTCTTCCCTGCGTATCTAGTAAACCAAATGATGATTCAAAATGGCCAATATCAGTCCATTTCAGCTCACTAATGCCTACGATAAGGAGCCCTAGTTACGCAGTTTTTGCTCCTATACAGATTAGCCGCCTCAGAAACCCTATACAGACAAGGTCTTTATTAAATTGACTCCAACAACAATGCATATTTTTAATACCAATTACAATGTATTTAATTTCCAGTTTTCTTAGAATCATGCTTTCTGCAGGGTTCTGTTTTAAATGACTGTTGAGCTCCATGTAAAGCATAGATTTTCTGTGGCCATTTTTTTTTTCCCCCCTCTTCTTGCTCCTAAATGCCTAGTATGAATTTGTGGTGAGAACTTGGTGAATCTTTCCCAATGATTGACTTAAAATAATTAACTGTTCAAGTTTGTATAAAATCTTTCATACGTTCGTTCATTGATTCCTTTAATACCTCTGGTAGCGTAATGGTTATGAATCGGGCTACTAATCTCAAATTCAGCAGTTCGAAATTACCAGCTGTTCCACGGGAGAAAGATAAGGCTTTCTGCTCCTGTAAAGATTTACAGCCTTGGAAACCATGTACAGGGTCGCAATGAGTTGGAACCGACTCCACAGCACACCACCACCAACACCATATACCAAGCACTATTCAAGATGCTGACAACTTTAGATTAATAACATATAATATCCAAATAGGATATACAAAGAATCAATAAGTAAGTGAAAAAATGTTCAGCATTATTAGCCATTTGTTGTTGTTAGGTACCATTGATTCAGCACCAACTCATAGTGACCCTATGCACAACAGAACGAAACACTGCCCGGTCCTGGGCCAACCTCACAATCGTTGCTACACCTGAGCCCATCATCACTGCCACCACTCTGCCATTCCATCTCGTTGAGAATCTTCCTCTTTTTCTCTGACCCTCCACTTTACCAAACAATATCTCCTTCTCTAGTGATTGGTTCCTTCTGATAATATGTCTGAAGAATGGGAGATGATGTTTGGCCATGCTGGTTTCCAAGGAGCAATCTGGCTGTACTTCTTCTAACACAGATTGGTTTGTTCTTTTGGAAGTCCATGGTACTTTAATGTTCTCCTACAACACCATAGCTCAAATGAATCAATTCTTCTACAGTTTTCCTTGTTCAATATCCAACTTCCACATGCATATGAGTTTATTGAAATTACCGTGGCTTGGATCAGGTGCACCTTAGTCCTTTAACAGACATCTTTGCTCTTCAACTCTTTAAAAAGGTCTTGTTCAGCAGATTTGCCTAATGCAATACATCATTTGATTTCTTGACTGCTGCTTCTTTGAGTGTTGATGTTTGTTTGATCCAAGCAAAATGGAGTCTTTAACAACTTCAATCTTTTTCCATTGACATGGATGTTATTTATTGGTCCAGTGGTGAGGATTTTTATTTTCTTTATGTGGAAATGTAACCCATACTGAAGGCTGTGGTCTTTGATCTTCATCAGTAAGTATTTTAAGCTCTCTTCACTTTTACCAAGTAAGTTTGTGTCATCTGCATATCACAGGTTGTTAATGAGTCTTCCTCCTATCCTGATGCCACATTTTTCTTCATATGATCCAGTTTCTCATATTAATTGCCCTGCATACACATTTAATAAGTTTGGTGAAAGAATAAAACCCTTGCGCACACCTTTCCTAATTTTAATCCATTCGATGTTCTCTTGTTCTGTTCGAAGAGAACTAAATGTTATCTGACTTTAAAATTGATTCTGTGAAAACTAGAACTGATTAATGTAAAATGCATTTCACTTTAATTGGATAATCAGAAACAGTTGCTTTACATTGCAATGACATGAAGACACTATTTAGTTCCATAAGTATTTCCTAGAACCAGAGGCCTAAATTTGAAACGGTGTCAATACATTTATTAGATTGTCATAAGTATTTTTGGCTGCTGTTGGTGAATGAGTGAAACAGAACGCAGAATAAAAGTGAAAATACTTATATTCTTACAATGAAAGAGATTGTCACTTTAGGGAACTCTCATATATATTGCTTATTAGAAGTGGTATGCAAAATGGTGTTATAGGGATAAGCAGTGAACTGCTAACCACAGGTCATTGGTTCAAACCCACCAGCTTCTCTTTGGTATGAGTCAAAATTGACTTGACAGCACTTAACAACAACAACCATAGATTGTTTTATTTGATATAAGTAACCTGTCTATAGTAAGAGAAAATTAAATCTGTGTACAGTATTACAAAGTATTTTTATTCTGTTTTCTGTTACTATAGTATGGAGTACTGGTGTGGTGCTGGGGATAATATGCTGGACTGCAAAGTAGGTTTAAGCTGCAAAGTTGGTAGTTCAAGTTCTCCTTGGAAAACCTATACAGGTTCCTATGGGTCGGAAGCGATTCGATGGTATTTAAAACAACAACATTATTATAGTATAACCATTCTATCAATAACTTAAGGTTTTTTAATTTTTTTGTCACAATACTAATGTTGTTAAGTATTGTTCAATGCTGTTGTGTCAGGTGTAGGGTTTCTGAGGAGCAGCTGGTGGGTTTGATCCACCAAACTTGTGGCTCGCAGTCCAGTGGTTTATCATATATCACTACACCATGAGTCCCATAATACCATTAGGTATTACTTTTTCTCTTTGTTTTAAGCACTTTGGTTACAAGTTATGTAGTTTGCTATATATAACTCGGTAAAAGCTTTGGGACTGCCTTAGTTTTCCAGCTCTGACAAGTTTCCCACCTTTGACAGATATTTACCTTACACAGGTTTTACTATGGTACCAATGCAAATTATTTTTATAAACTGCTGTTTTAATGATGTTAAAAAAAAGTTTTTTTTAAAGATTTTTGTTGTTGATTCTATTTAAATGTAAACTTACTGAAAATAAAAATCCAGATTTCTTTTTTACACTATGTTTTACCTTTTTCTTTTTAAGAAAGGTAAACATACAGGAAGAAGTATTACAGGTTATAAGTATTTGAGCTCTGAATTTAGATTACCTGAATTATGTGGATAAACTTGGAGGAATTACTGAGCCTTGGTTATACTGTGAGTCAAGCATTGGGCTGCTAATCATAAGGTTGACAGTTCAAACCTACCAGCCACTCTACTGGAGAACGACGAGGTTGTCTCTGTAAAGATTTGTAGTCCCAGGAACCCTAGGAAGTAGTTGTACTGCTTCTATCGGATCACAGTGAATTGGGATCAACTCTGGCTGTGGGTTTGGTTGGGTATGGTATTTTAGCTGTGTAATTACCTCGTTAGAAAATGAAAGTTGTAATAGTAACTACCTTAAATAGTTGTTGTGAAGATTAACTGAGATTAACAAGCATAAAATCTTTAGTATACTATTAGCAGAGGAAGTTCTTAATAAATATTAATACTATTAAAATTATTTAGTAGCTTATATATTTGGTAAATACATATTTTAAATTCAGAGTATTAAATCAGTCATTTTATAAAAATTTGGGATGTACTCTCATTTTTATGCTTACCTTATAGATAATAATCTATATTTCCCTCTGAGCATTTTTGTTTTGTTTTGTTTTTGTTTTCAGGTTACATTTCACATAGAGCCATATGTCAATCGAGATGATCAAAATATGTATAAAAATGTCAAGTATATCATAGACAGGTAAGTTTCTTTTGTGCTTATAATTACTATTATGTTATCTAATTATTAGTATTGTTATGAGAAAAATACGCTTAAATTATATTTGAAAGATTTTAATGATTTATCATCTGCCATATTTAATAAAATGAATTTAAACTCTTTTATATTAGTGTCACAACCATTATGGGTAAACATTCCTGAAGTCCTTACTGTTAACTTGCTATGTGACTAGTTACAGACTGGCATTGGTTTACTGTTTTTCATATTAAATAGGCTCTCTGTGATTTGTCTTCTTTCCATATTCAGATGATATTTCTTTAAATCTTATAAATGTTGACTTCTGTTTTTTAAAATGAAGTTTCAGAATGTAAGCTGCTTTTATAGCAATAGACTCACATTTAATGGTTTTATTTATCTTTGGTCTGCTTACAAGGAAGTAATTTATGAATACAATTTCATTTTGTTAAAAGATTTTACTGATAATAATTTGTGACAGATGCTGTACTTTTTCAGAGAAACTTGTCAGAATTAATGGAACATTTATTACTGATACAAAAAGTAGTTTATATATTCATGTAGAAAATAATGGTCTTTTTATGGCACTAGTCATCATTTGTAAACCTCAACATGAGATAATTAATTCCTAGCTTGGTAATGTCTTGATGTCCCCAGTATTTCATTTTCTAATGTGTAAAATTAAAAATTCATTTTTAATGGTTACACTTATGTAACTGATTCCCAAAGAAGGTGAACAATGTCCTTAAACTGTGCTGAATGCCTTCATTTTCAGTACATAAACAGTTTTTGCCGATGGATGGTAAGTGAGTTGTGAATATTCATTTTGCTTTTCCATGTTTCTGTTTTAGATATGGAAATCATCCAGCTTTCTACAGGTACAAGACTAGGACCGGCAAAGCGCTTCCTATGTTTTATGTCTATGATTCCTATATCATAAAGCCTGAAAAATGGGCCAATCTGTTAACCACCTCAGGCTCTCAGAGTATTCGCAATTCTCCTTATGATGGATTGTTTATTGCACTTTTAGTAGAAGAGAAACATAAATTTGAAATTCTTCACAGTGGTTTTGATGGGATTTACACATATTTTGCCACAAATGGCTTTACTTATGGCTCATCACATCAGAACTGGGCTAGCCTGAAAGCCTTTTGTGATAACTACAACTTGATATTTATCCCAAGTGTGGGTCCAGGATACATCGACACCAGCATTCGTCCATGGAACTCTCATAATACTCGGAATAGAGTCAATGGGAAGTATTATGAAACTGCTCTGAGTGTTGCCCTGAAGACCCGCCCCAGTTTAATTTCTGTTACTTCTTTCAATGAGTGGCATGAAGGAACTCAGATTGAAAAAGCTGTACCCAAAAGAACTAGTAATACTGTATACCTGGATTACCGGCCTTACAAGCCAGGTCTTTATCTAGAGTTAACTCGCAAGTGGTCTGAAAAGTACAGTAAGGAAAGAACAACTTATGCATTAGAATATCAGTCTCCTGTTTCTTAATTTGTTTATTAAAGTGTAATAATTATTAAAACCTAATTTCAATAAATGCCTTTGTTTTCAGCTTTGGGAAGAAAACTGTTAGAATCAGCATGTGCTGCTTATATTCTTTAATAAAAATAATTTGTACTTTTTTAAAGAAGTGGTAGTATTGTCATTGCCACCTTTCATAATGCTGTACTGAGAAGATATGAGACACTTATGCAAACAACATTCTCTGTGGCATGATTTGCTACATTTCTGACTGAAATTGGAATTCTTTGTTGGCAATTTAATTGTGATTTCACAGTGGATAAATAACTGTTATGTAACACAATTAGCATACAGTTAAATGCTACTTGCATCCTGGGTCCAAAGAAAGAGGATTGTGTGTATATTTGATATATGTATTTAAGAAAAAAGGCCTAAAAGATCTAATTATTTTGTGATAGTTTACATGTTTTGTTTCTTTTCATTTTTCCTTTAACAGTAGACTCCTGGTGTGGTACTATAGGATTAGCACTGCACTGTGAATCACGAGGTCAGAAGATCAAACCCACCAGCTGCTGCTTGGAAACCCTATAAAGGGCTGTAATGTATGAGTATGAGTTGCCTCAATAGCATTTGGCAAAAGTAACAGCAACAACAATGTATCGGTTGTCTTGATTGTGTTAGTGTTCAGACTGTGGATAACTCTCATAATGATGACCTTCTTAAAAAAAAAATACAATTATATACCTGAAGTCATACTCTAAACCACATTGTGTTGAGAAGGCATGCTTTCTGTAGCACTATATAATAATTTGCACATTTTTTGTTAACCTGGTGTCGTTAAGTGCTGTTTGGTCAATTCCAACTCAGAGCCACTCTGTATAGAGATTCTGAGGAGCAGCTGATGGGTTTGAACTGTCAACCTTGTGGTTCGCAGTACAATGCTGATCTTTGGTACTTGGTTTTTATAGGGCCACCCTGAATCAGAATCTGTTTGAGGGTATTGGTTTTTTTTAAATGGTGCTATTTGCATGCGTCATGTTTTTGCTTTACTATGGCATGAGCTCTGATAGCATAGTGGTTACGAGTTGGGCTGCTATCCTCAAAGTCAGAAGTTTGAAACTACCAGCGGTTCCGCAGGAGAAAGATGAAGGTTTCTGCTCCAGTAAAGATTTATAGCCTTGGAAATCCTGTACAGGGTTTCAATGGATTGGAACCGACTCACACACTTAACGACTACAACAACATGGAGCAATTGTATGGTGCTGTAAGATAAGGACTGGACTGTTAACTATTAGATCTACAGTTCAAACCCATCAGCCATTCCATAGAAACCTTATGAGTCAAGACTGACTCAAGTGTATCAAGTGTAGTTAACAACAACTTGTTGAATTACAGATTTTTAAAGCTGAGGGAAGTGCTTTCATAAAATTAATAATTGTCAATTAGTAAGAGAACTTTTTTTTCACAATTATGAAAGTATATTACCCAAAATATTCAATTATCTTTTTTAGATTAATTTGTCAATTTTTAACATGTTGGCATTTAAGTCTTTAAATTTAATGTTGATCAGAGACTTAACTCTTAAGTACAGGAGAAATAAAGGTGATACTGTCATATTTGGATTGAATTTCAATTTTACATTACCAAAAATAATCAAGAAAATGTACTCACAGTTTTAGATTTTAAGAACATGGAACTGAAAATTCATTTGTGTCTTAGTTAAATTCATATTGGAATTTGTCTTATGTTTAAGTTGAACCTATGAAATGAAAAAAATAAAACTTCATCTTGTAAGTCAGTACTTAAAAATGTTGTATATCCTAATGTCCACATTTTAAAACTTAGTGCCATCAGTACTAATTGGAGTCCTGGTGTAGCGCTGTGGGTTAATGCGCCAAGACTCCAAAGCCGCTTGAACTGCAAGGTTGGCGGTTCAAGCTCACCAGCTGCTCCTCAGAAACCCTATACAGGGTTGCTATGGGTCGGAACCGACTCGACGGCATTTAACAACATTAGTACTAATCAAGTTAAAATACTCCTGATGATAATTGTCATATGGTGACAAATTAATCACTTTTATGCTAAAAATGACTTTCTTAATTTACTGTTAGAACTTGAGAATGACCAAATGAACTCTGTTGTTAGGGTTAGCATTTGTAACTATGACTACAGTAAACATCTGACATATGTGTTATTATATAAATATTATTTCTTAGATATTTAATTCTATTAAAATGAAGCAATGGAATAATGCTCAGCAGTAATGCACTTAAATATTCAGAGTATAAAAACATACATTCAGAAATATAAATTAACACTGCAATTTATCTTAAATGGCCCATCAAATGATGAAATTTATTTTTAAACAGTGATTTAAAAGTAAATAATATACTACTGTTAGTTTAAAGTTATTTGTAATTGAAGAATTTACCATTTTTAAGATACTGGTCAGGACACAGAACATTAGTATGATAGTGATAACCTGATTACTTTCTAGGAGAAATTTTAAGAATAAGTCACTATGTTGATATTTTGGTATAACCAAGCATTTTGGTTAGGAACATTCATATAAATATGGCCTGTGGATTTTTTTCTTTTATGCAGTTATCCACCATAGAATATTTTAGGGATAGACTCTTATGTCATGTTTTATAAAATATCACATATATTAAAATTTAGAGAAATTACTACTAGAGAGGAATTCTCTTATTGTCTATATTGTACATTTTAACCCCCATGGTAGATCATTATTTTTTAAAATAGTAGTTCTGACATTAAGAAAAGCTATATAAATGTAGGAATAAACCACTATTTCAGTACTGCTCTCACTGCAGAGATACATATAGATCATTCCTTACAGCATATTTAACTTCTGGACTTTGTCATGGGTCTGAGCACATTACTCCAACCAGTCAGTTTTAATCAGTAGCATTTCCAACTAAGATACAACATATGTCTTGATTGCAGAAATCTGTTCTTTAAGGAGGAGCCCTGTGACACAATAGTTAAGTTCTCTGCTGCTAACAGAAAGGTCAATCATTCAAACACATTAGTGACTGAAGGAAAAAAGACCTGCCAACCTACTGTCATAGATATTTCAGTCTAGGAAACCCTGTCTAAAATAGTTCACTGTGAATTGTAAAGTACTTGATGTCACATACCGTTCCTCAAGGGAAAAATGATTGGAATCTGTTCATAATGGTTTAGTGGTTTATAATTACACTAATATCATTTTTTTTCTTTTTACAAAGCAATTATTAGAAATAGAATCTCTAATAATTGTTACTATTTATTGTTATTGTTATTATTAGACGAATACTTTTGAAATCATCCTCAGGTATTCACTACAGCTGATTATGCTGTAATTTATAACACTGTTTAGATAATTTTGATCACAAGTAAAAAAGAACAAGGAATTTATTTAATTTTAAAAACTAGGTTTGAATTCAATATACTTAAAAATAGGTAAAACAAAAAAATAAGTGATAATATATATGCAATGCATGAATCATAATGGATTAGAAATTATTCATTTTTTATGATGTAATAAGTCAAGTTGCTTTGACTATAAATAAACTACATCTTTATTATTTCCTTTTAGGGCTAAAATTGTTTTATAACTGCTATTATTGATGAGTAAGTTGTATGTTAATTTTTCCCATATTCTTTCAGAGTATATAAACATATGTGACAATTTTGTTATGTGGAGTAAATGTTCATCTAATAAAAGCATACATGAAATGTCTTACTCATGAAACATCTGATTTTTTTTTTTAACTTTTTATTGTGTAAAGGTTTACAGAGCAGATCATCAGATTTACATTCAGAAAATCATATACTTTGCTACATTACAATGATTGCAGTCCCTTCCATGTACCAATAGTTAATAGTATTTACCTCTATTCACTTGAACTACTGCAGTTTTCCCTGTTTCCCACTACTTTCATCTTTTCTCTGCTAACCTCCCTTACACTGTATATTGCCTGCTCTAGACCTATTTTCTCTCCCCTTCCCCCCATAATGATCATTGATTGCTTCTTTTATTAATAAAACCTTAACTTTTTACAACTTTGTTCTCAATGCAATATTTGTCCTTTGTGACTGACTAATTTTACTCATCCTAATATCCTCACTCAGCCTGGAGTACTGCTGTGGGCTAATGTGTCAGACTGCAGAGTCGTTTAAACTACAAGGTTGGTAGTTATAGCTCACTAGCTGCTCCTTGGAAACCCTATAGAGGGTCGCTATGGATAGGAATCGACTCAAAGGCACTTAACAACACCAATGTCCTCTAGGAGTCCTGGTGTGGCTCTGTGGGCTAATGTGTCAGACTGCAAAGTCGTTTGAACTGCAAGGTTGGTGGTTCAAGCTCACCAGCTGCTCCTTGGAAACCCTATACAGGGTCGCTATGGGTTGGAATTGACTTGACGGCACTTCACAACAACAACAACAGTGTCCTCTAGGTTTATCCATGTTATGAAGTGTTTCCCAGATTTATCATTATTCTTCAGCATTGCATAATATTCCGTCGTGTGTATGGACCAAAGTTTCTTTATCCATTATTCTGTTGTCACTTAGACTGTCTATATTTTTATGTGTTTCTCAGCATATTGAAGGATCCTGTTTTCTTCTCCATTCTGCTCTGTCTCTTGACTGGTGCATTTGACCAATTTACAGTCAGTGTAATTATCTGTAGGTAGGTGTGAATTGTTATTTAGCTGTGTGTGTTTTCTTGGTGCTGGTGGTTTCTTTGTTCCACATAATTCTTTGTACTGATTTCATTTTGTTTGTGAGGTTTCTTTTCTTTTTCATTTCTGTTACATTAATGTTTATCTTTCTGATTTTCATCTTTTTAAAAATTTTGGTGTGAAGGTTATTCATTTTCTTTGAGTTCTTGTAGTTTATTAATTTTTTCCTCATTTAAAAGTCTGTTTTATCTTGAAATTTACTTGGCTTCCTAGACATTTGGAGGTTCTATATCTACACTGTTCCTTCTTTTTGCTTTGTAGTTGACTTCATTATAAATTGACATCTCTGGTTCCCTATAGGTTTGTTTTACTTTAAATACTTACGTACCTAGGTTGAGTTCTGGTTGGTGTTATCATATATGGCAATCTCAGGTTATTATTTGCTATTGTTGGTTCTCAGTCCAAAGAATACCCCTCAATATTGTTTGTAAAGCTGATCTGGTCTTTACAAATTTAATTTCTGTTTATCAGGAAATGCCCTAATTTTTGTCATATATTTGACAGCTTTGCTGGGTGTATAATTCTT